ATAAGAGACAGATATATATGAGAACTGGGAACACAAATTATGTATAAATCAAATAGATAATACATTATTATATCATATACCGCATGTATATATATTATATATAATAATAATACTAATAATAATAATAATAAAAATAATAATAATAATAATAATAATAATAATAATAATAATAATAATAATAATAATGATAATAATCATAGGCCTATATATAAACTTATAGGCATATATGAAATTACACGAAGAACGCTATGGTAACAACGATAAAATGAATTAACAGGAACACCAGTAAAATTATAAATAACACTTTAGGTGAACAACAAGTTTCGGGCATCGCCCTTCATCGTACACACCTGGATTGAATTCACCTGGTGATGTCCACGTGGATGGGTCATGGTGAACCCACCAAAGATTTGATAGTACCATCGTTCCTTTCGGTATTTTGTATCCGGAAATCCTAAGTAATGAAAATATTAATAGTAGCAACAGCAGCAGCCAAAACAATATCGACAGCAATAGAACTGATACCAATATTATGCTGATGATGATAATGACGATGATGTTGATGATTATAATGGTGAAATTATGATGATGGTGGTGGTGGTGGTGATGACAACGACGACGACGACGACGATGATGATGATGATGATGTTGATGATGATGATGATGGCGACGGTGACGATGACAACAATAATATTAGCAATTATATTTTCATTATTTTGACACTTACTCGGTGTCAATGGTCGTTTGATGTGGTCCATTGAGGGAGGAAAATGAACTATGTCGTAATACTTCAAGAACGGTGGCCTCAAGGTACGGTAAGTGACGCCTGTTCTTCCAAGCAGGATAACGGTGCCAAGAATTCTCATCCAATTCCCGTTGTATCTTAGATTGTACCTGTTGTTAACAATTAAGGCTTGCTCAAACTATCAAACTAAATTCAAGTTTGCAAAGTCTTGTCAAAGTCTCGGGCTTAAGCAAGATCACCTGTGCGTTTAACCTTAACAAAGGTATTCATATTAAGAGTGAGGTCATGGTAACGGTAATGGTTCGGCTCAATATGTGTAATGTAACAAAATAACAAAAAGAAAAATTAAACAGAAAAGAATTATCCGGAGACTACCATGGAACCCAGCAACCCTCCTTAGAAGCAGACTACTCGAGAGAACCAGCATCATTGCATCGGTTTCCTGCAATTTGAGACCACTTGCAAGCAGTGGTTTGCAAGACCATTATTCACAGATTTGCCAAATGATTTTGGCATCTACACTCTACCAAGAAGAAGAAACTAAAACAAAACGGATATTAAAAGACAAGAAAGAGGTGGGTCTTGGGTTTTTGCATAGTTTAGGAGTAGCAACTCAAAACGACGTTTCTCTCCATTTCAAAGTACTGTACTGGGATCGACATTATGACTTGAGGAGTTTATTATCGTACTAGATTACCTCTTGATTCATCATAAGATATAGAATTGCCCATCTCATCGTTTGAAAAGTAGACTCAAATCCGCCAGAAAACATCTCCCACGCGGTCATGACAATCTGGTCCTTGGGCAAGTATCCGAGATTAAGGAGGGCGTCAACAAAGTCTCTGGTGTTGTCAGGATCATGACTGCATTTGTGACGTTCATATTCTCTCACAAATACTTTGTCACGGATGTTGATAAGCTGGACAACCAATCGCTGTCTTTTGTTGGGAAATACCTTTTTAAGAGAAAACAAAAGGTTGAGGATTACTTTATTATCATATAATAACAATGAAATTGTCTTTTCTTGGCAATATATCACAAAAGTATTCGTTTTACATGCGATAGACGTTACGCAATAAAGGAGTAGGCATAGTTTAATAAAAAGATATGAGACATTCAAATTAAAATGCAAGAGAACTAGTGTGCACTGTGGGAGTTTTACTACAGTATTGTCTCATTTATTCTCTTTCTTGCGAAAAAGTTTAGCTGCGTTGAAACTTGCGTACGTAGGCAGAGTCCACGTACTTTTTGCTTTGTGCGTTTTTAAATTTTACCTTCAAACATGGGAATACGTCAATGATATCTCCTACTTTAAAAATAACTTTTAGGTTATCATTTGCTTGTAGAAGCTCTTCCAGCTCAATATCACCAGCCTCATACTTTATGCTACAAGTAATGTTTAAGATAATGTTGGCAATTGCAACATTTAATATATCACTCGGATCAAATGCGTTGCATTCTTTTTGAAATGAGCTTAGTAACTCGTCTAATTCTCTGAATATACATTTGCCGGTACTTTCTTCAAAATAGCCAACAAAATTTGAGCGAAGTGCAGCTGCCGACACCTTTTTATGTTGTACCAAAGATGGAGAAAAATCTCGAAAAGCAATACCACCGTCACCATGCGATATTCTGTCTATTGAGTAGACGTATGGGCGCCCAGAAAAGTCGTCTCCTTTTTTTCCAAAGGCTTCTCGAATCACTTCTGCGCTGTTTAGTACAACGACATCTTTGAATCCAATTGACAACTTAAAAACATCTCCCAGTTCTCTGCCAACACGCTGTAATACAATGCAAGGGGCTAAATTTCCCAGAAGAAGGTTGATGTTGCCTATAATCGGGAATCCTCTTGGCCGTGGAATATCTTTACCGGTAGTAAGTCTCTGTCTTTTATAATATAAGCAGACGGCAAACAAAGATAATACGAAAATTAGAATAAATCCAACTAACATGTTATCAAGGGGAATAAATAAAACGTTAAAATAATCTGATGACAAATATGTACAGACAAGTACAAGTTGGTGAAACCTTTTCAATGACTTCTGTATATGATGCCAATTTCTTCTAGACCACGTATAAAGCGCGTGGTGAGCATAACGTCATCATATTAGAATATCTCAACAATATTTACATATTTACCTGCCATCTGGTAAGCTCGAAGATTATGCAGAAATACTATAAGCAACCCGATAAGCCATTCTTTATCCCGAAGAATTTTCCAAGATTTAAGTGCAGATAAATAAAATATTAAAAATAACTTATTACTATATTTCACTTATTTTGATTTAAAATTTCCATAAAGTTGTCTTTAGTATAAATATTTAATCTGTCGGAATTATACATTTAAATTTAGTATATAAATCCCATTATAATTATTATTAACCTATAATCATGCCATTTACGATACTTATTCTTCAATGTTTAGGTGAATAGCTTTAACTTTTGTTGGATGAAGAATCCGTACTAGGCCTAATGTAATTCAATTAAACAGGAAAGGTATCCAATTACAGATGTACTTGAAGAAAATAGTATTATTGAGGTGTGTGGCGGCAGAAAATCTGTGTTAGTCTTAGTTGGAAAACACCCAAGAAACGTTCTCTGATCAAAAAAAATACAAGGGTTTAGGTACTTTTTCGACAACCAATGCGCTGCCTAAAATATTCCTAATAATTGTAAAGATAAACACCTTGATGATGACATAAATTTATA